CTTCTTAAACCACTCGAAAACTTGCGTGCGAGATAGACACTGATCACCATATACTTCTGTCAACAAATTGTAAGTTTCAGTGGCAGATTTTCCAAGTTTTGTGAGGAATTTGATGTTAGCACGTTGTTCTGCATTAGCACTCAGCATTATTCCGACGGAGCTCAGAAACACGATCCGCTTCTAACAATGGTCGCGGCCAGACTAACCGATGCACGTGAATGAAACTTTGTGTGACGGTAGAGGGAAGTCCAAGGGTCAATGCCCTACCCTCCTCTTCGTCAATGACGTGGCCGGAAATGAGTCATAAAAGTAATCCGGGTTCTTTATTGCCACACCTTGTAATACTTCAGAGGTACTTTTTAAGGATTGCTGAAAGCTGGATAATAAAACAAGAAACAAGAAATTCTGGGAAGAACTAATCACCTACTTTCCTTCGGTAATTACTTTACTTGTGTATACATATGCAATTCAATAAAACAATACTGTAAAGTCGATTTTATAGAGCGTGAATTGCGCATGTATTGAAGCAGCTGAAAGGGTGCAATAATTTTCATTTCTCTAAAACATACATTAGCACACTGTGTCGAATAATAGTTGAGAAAACTGACATTTTCCCGATTTAAATTCATTGGACAATATATCAAGCAAAATAGGTGGGAGGCATTGGCACGTGGTGGGTAATGGTACCCAAGTTAATTTTGAAGTTCCAGGCAGTTATTAACAACTCTACATCACACTATAATGTAGCAGAAGGCCCCAAAAATTAGTGTTGCCAGTCAGACTTTAAGGTACTGTGAATCGTTTATGCCTATTTTCTGTTCCTGTGAAGAAGACCTGAAATAAGAGCTTAGCTAAGTCAGAAAGTATTAATTATCATAGAAGCAAATAGTATGTAGATATAGTGTACTTTCTTGTCTACTATTTCTTTCTTAATTTGTTGGTTTTCAGTTTTTGCATACACATGTAGAGGTCAAATTAAGATAATGGCACCAAGACAGCAGATACTGCAGTCAATTTCAAATGCAATTTTTGTGCATCAAGTGCAACACCTTTGGTGAACATCTTTGACATTAAATTAAAGGCAGGCCTAAATGGCAGCACTATTCATTTATTACTTTATATATTCTAGTGGCCTCTTCGGGTGTGTTTTTTTCTTGTAACATATTCCTTTCTCAGTAAATTTAAGCTGTAGTTACATGTATTGGTATCAGTTCTTTCAAAATGATGGTTT